AAGTGTGCACTTACATTCTCCTACATACAGCACATGCAAGTACATAAACGTGAACGCTTGGCCCCTGCATTTGTCCCATTGTAGACATATAAGGAGTGCACTTTATGTTACCGTGGCGATACACAATCCTCAACTCAAGAGGGCGATAGGGTTCCAGGCGTCTGTGCTATTAAACCAAGTGCGATTGTCACAATGTCTGTCCATTCATAAGTAATACATATTGAACTCATAATTGTAATCATTTTTAAGGAATACAAAAATGCAAATTTGCTGAAAATGTGCTCACCCTTCTCAGGCCATCCAAGATGTAGATGTGTCTGTCTGTTCATCAGGTTTGGAGAAATGTAGCATTGCATCACTTGCTCACCAATGGATCCTCTGCAGTGAATGGGTGCCGTCAGAATGAGAGCTGATAAAATCATCACAATAATCCAGAAGTAATCCATCAGTTAACATCTTGAGAAGCCAAAATCTGTGTTTGTAAGAAACAAATCCATCATTAAGACGTTTTTAATTCCAAACTGTTGCTTTCAGCTAAAATATGAGTCCATAATCCATAATTGTGCTTCCTCCAGTGAAAAAGTGCATCTCTTGTTGTCTCTCACATCAAAATCCACACACATATTTTGGACTGTTTTGGCTTGTAAACGGTGTTTGATCTGTGCAGATTTCTCTCCTGATTCAGACCAGACCACTTTTTCACTGGATGAAGCTTTATTATGGATTATGGACTTGTGTTTTAGTTAAAAACGCCTTAATGATGGGTTTGTTTCTTACAAAGACGCATCTTTTGTCTTCTCAAGATGTTAACTGATGGACTGGAGTGGTGTGGATTACTTGTGGATTATTGTGGTGTTTTTATCAGCTCTCATTCTGACGGCACCCATTCACTGCAGAGGATCCATTGGTGAGCAAGTGATGCAATGCTACATTTCCCCAAATCTAATGAAGAAACAAACCCATCTACATCTTGGATGGCCTGAGGGTGAGCACATTTGCAGCAAATTTGCATTTTGGGTGACCTATTCCCTTATTTCTTTAACAACATGACAATTTTTCAAATTTTCTCTCACTTGCTCATTATATAAACCTGCTATATTTTAACTAACTTTAATCTTTATCAGTTAAGATTCTCTTCAGATTGTTGCTACACCATACCAGTAGTCAAACAAGGGAAATGGTGCTTGCAAAACTAAAAACATTTGCATTGGCGTAGAGTAATGTTTTTCATTAAAACCAATGTTTTATCATTCAGGTATTTAGATGCAGACAATTTAAGCCCACTATAGCAACAAATCACACATGTTTGCATTGCATTCTGACACATTTCAGTGTGAAATCTCTCTTATAGCATTAGTGCTCACATACTTGCACAGATTATGTTTCTGGCCTGATAAACACCAGCTGATTTATACATTCAGCCTGTAACAAACATATTCTTTGTCGATGCTACTAAGCATCTAAATGCATAACAAGGCCGCAGCCCCCAATGCAGTTGATCGTTTTGTGGTTGTTTGTGCGATGCGGGGCACTAAAAGGCCAGCTCGACAGCAGGTAGCCACGCACTATTTGTGGGCGTAATGGCACAGCAAGACGATGATACGCTGCCGTGCCAAGATAAGTGCTGTTTACTGCAAGCTTCGTCACTTATGGTGTCCCCACCTTCTGTCTAAGTGTGAAAATCTAATAATCAAAGCAGGTGGTCCCTCCTGAGCCCATCTGAGAGCTGATTCTGATCTGAGATCATGACAATCAGAGGCTGGATCCACATATAGATCCAGCGCCTTCTGATGCAGAAACCCGGCCTGCCCTTCAGTCTGGCCTGCTTTTCAATGTGCTCTCATTTTCTAGTCACCTAAAATAGGCCATCGGATCCTATTTTAGTCAAACCACAGTCTATCGTGCTCGGAGGATTTCACTTGGCCAAATCACCACAGTGATTGCTTGATTTTTCAGTGTGAGACCGCACAGGTTTTTATGCATCCATTAATGCATAAAATAAACTGGAAGATTTGAATTTTTTAACGCAAGGCTTGAATTTTTAAATAATTCCTTTAAGTTTTAATGTGACTAGTCAGTTTTCTTTCTGTCAGTTGTTTTGTTTGTTTCAAGTTGCACAATAAGTTAAATTTTACATGTTGTATCTCTAGTGTTTGAAACAATGAATCAGATTAAAACAGTATTATTGCAGTAGCATTAAGATTTTGGTAATATTTTGAATCTGTTTTATTTATTTATTATATTTTCTGTTTTCATTTTAATTTTATTTGAAGTTTTAGTAATCCTGATTATTTTTGTAAAAATGTTTTTAAACATTTGTATAGCTGTTTTTTATTTTTATTTTAGTTTGTTACTTCAATATCAAGTTAGACTGAATGAAAATCAAATAAAAATAAATGAATGAAAAAAATGTAAAATAGGTAAAATAAAATATGTTTAAGTTTCTTTTCAGTTAACCATGCATTAAAATTAAATATTAAAATATATTATAAAAATGTCTCATCTATCTATCTATCTATCTATCTATCTATCTATCTATCTATCTATCTATCTATATATCTATCTATCTATCTCTTTTAAATTCTTAATTTAAGTGTGAGTATTTCTCCCTCTAGTGGTTAAACTATAGCACTTTCCTCTAAGATCTCTTTTAAACTCTTTAATGATTTCTTAACCGCAGGGGTTCCTAATCTTCTCTCTAGCTGATCCTCTGTGATCTAAATTATTTACTTAAGGACCTCTGAATTTTCAAGTCATGTTCTAACCTTTCAGTAAATGAAGAGTAATAATGATTTTAATGACAAATAATTTAATGACTCCTTTTGTATTAAATACAGAGTTGCCCCAAAATGTATGTGGACACTTAAATCTATTTTAAAAAATGCCTAAATGTCACTGCATTAAATAACAAAGTAATTAAAAAGCAAGTGTCAAAAAATAAGTTGGTTTAGTTTGAAACACACACACACACACACACACACACACACACACACACACAGTATGTTGAAAATGAAGACAGTGAGTAATGTGTGGCTGTGTGTTTATGTTTATATTAATACCGTGAACTTGAGTTTGACCAGCACTAGCTTTTCTCTCACGATTGTCCTGCACATTCAACTCATGAAATTGCTCAGTTATCAGTCACCTTTGATGTGCTGACATGCTAATGCAACAGGGAGAAACATAGCAAAGAGTTGATTTTTTGATTTTTTATTTTTACTTATTATATCACAGCAATAATTACTATACTAAATACTATTATTATTAGCATGCCAGCAACAATTACATACTATTTCTGCCATAAAGAACATATTGCTTACAATTAATGCCATGATATATCGAAGCAGTATGATGTTTGCTAGTGGTATTTAAAGAAGGACATTCACATAAAGAGCTTTTGATTGGACAGAAATCTGTATCAGTATTTCTGCTTAAAAGCATAGTGAATGAATTCTGTCACGTTTAGGAGCATTTAGCTTATAGACAAGCTCAAAGCTAATAGATATGCAGCTAACAGCTAATGTTCTCAGAACTCTGGCTTACATTGTATCAAGGTTATGAACAAATGTTCTTCCAGCAATGACAACAGAATGTTGGTTCAAAGTTACCATGATCTTTAATAATGTTTTCAAGCACAAAAACAATGTTACTTAAATATTCTTGGGATGTTTTTTTCTGAAATGTTTTGTTTGGGTGTTCATATAACATTTGAAATGTTAGGCCTACAACTTTAGTTGTTTAGTAACATTCCAATAACGTTTGCAAAATGATACAATGCAATTTTTTAATGTTCGTATAAACAAGAAAAATGTTTCAACACATTTTAAAAACTGAACGTTTTGAACATTCAGAAATAAAATAACGTTTTCATAATTTAATAGGGAATGTTAACAAAACATTTTTTTTTTTTAGCTGGGTAAAAACCACAAACTCAGTTTCAATTTCATGGGGTTGTTTAAATTCATTATTTTCTGAAAAAGTGTGGGTAATTTTACATTGTATGCATTTTGCTGATGCTTTTATCCAATGTGACTTACAGTGCATATACAGTACATCAGGTCATGCATTCTGTGGGAATCAAACCCATGACCTTGGTGTTTCCAGCCACGTTTTAAATTAACATGAAAGGAAAAAGGGATGCACACTTCAAAACTCTACCAGACGAAAAAAAAAACCCCCAAAAAAACATGCCTCTGGTATATCATTTTCGGGTTCTCATAACTTTGGTTAATGTTAACAACAATGTTCTTGTAAGGTTCTCTCAAAGGTATAAACAAATGTTCTTCCACTAATTTTAAGAGAATATTCATTCAAATTTGTCTGGTTGTTTGCATTCATAACGGAATCAGAACATTCCGAAAACATTTAAAAGTGCAACATTATAAAATGAAACATTCCTAAAATGTTCCCTTATCATTCGCATAACCAATAAATAAAAAAAAAAAAATTTCACAACTTGATGAGAACTAGATCTTATTTTTTGTTAGTTCTGCTCAGGATGGATAGAATGCCAGTTAAGACTAAGCATTATTTATTTCTCTTGGCACAGTGTTTTTTGTAAAGCTGATAATTGCACCGCTGCCTCCCGGACATGATCATTTTATCAAAGCTGGTATGCAAACCCACATGACACAATAATTGTTGCCGTCTTGGATGAGTGATAAAACATCTTCAAACAGGTGTTCGTATAGGTGTATCATGTTAATACAGCATTGACAGCAAAGGAATTTACCAGTGACACACTTTCCCATAGTCTAGTATCATAACAATGAGATCACACCTGTGAGGCAGTAGCTGTAAACCCTGCCCATATTCCCATGTGTTCACGGATTGTAGGCCTGTGTGTCAGTCAACCTGTGTGTGTACTGTGTGTCAGTCAACCTGTGTGTGTACTGTGAATAAGTGCAAATGAATAAGATCTGCAAAAGAGATTGATCAGGAACTCTTCCGTAGAAGAGGGAGGATCAGCTCGGGGGTTTTAAACCGTTCTCGAGATCACTGCAGTCCGTTTCACTGAGGAACCAGCGGCTGAACCTGAAGCATCTGCACACATTGTAAGTATTCATTCATTTACTTCTAAAACAGACTGTTGAACTGTGTTTTTAGATCTCAGTATTTTTGTCATTGTCATATCTAAACACCCTTTAAACAATACATTTCCTTAAAAGCAAAACTCCATAGGATGTTAAGATATTTTCAGAGAATATATTTTGAATTATTCATGTCAAAAATGAATGTTGCAGTTTGCTAAATGTAGTGTTATAATACAACTTCACATTTCAGTTTGCGTAAACGTAATATTTCAAGGCAGCACAAACACTTTAAGTTGAAACAACATTTTATATAATTAAAAAATATATATATATTTGTCATGATTTTGTGTTTAAGTAATAAGTTGACCAATAATATAAATATAATACTGATAATATTTTTTTGTTCCTTAACTAAACAAGCAGTTTAGATATCTTTACAGGAAATATGACAAAAATGCTGTTGAAAAAAAAAAAAGGATTCAATCCAAATGTAACATGATTTCAAGTAATAAATAAATTATTCCAAATAGTGTAAAAACACTAGATTTGAAATTAATTTGCTCTGTAATAAAAAAAACCTGTTTATTTTTTTTTTACCTGGTGTAGCTAACAGTTAAGATTATATGATATATATTTTTAATTATATTATTTTAATTGTAATTAAATGTATATTATTATTATTATTATTATTATAATAACAAAAAAACATATTTAACATATTAAAAATGTGAAATAACTATTACTGCAAATCAGTTTCACACTGAAACGGCAACATATTGAAATTCACTGTTTAAACAGAGATGGCATGCAGACGAGGTTATTGTGTGAAATCAGGTATAACAAACCGAACCAAGTCATGCCTGAAATCCCAGGAATTATCAGTTAGACAAATGTTGCATGTGAGCTTTCTAACAATTTTTTCTTCATTCCTGCTGCAGGAACAACCATGAGCAACCCTTACTACGGCTGGAGCAACAGCTCGACTGACAACTGCACCGACGTGGACGATCTGATGAAGCGCTACTATCTGCCCGCGTTTTACGGCACCATCTTCGTCGTAGGCGTGATAGGCAACATCACCGCTCTGCTGGTCTACGTGGTTAAAGTTCGTCCCTGGAAGAGCAGCACCATCATCATGGTGAACCTCGTCATCACCGACCTCCTCTTCATGATCTCCTTGCCCTTCCTGACCTACTACTACAGCCTCAACGACTCGTGGACGCTGGGCATCATCATGTGTCGCTTCACGCGCTTCATCTTCCACTTCAACCTCTACGGCAGCATCCTCTTCCTCACCTGTCTGTCCATCTTTCGCTACGTGGCGGTCGTGCATCCGACGCACGCACACAGCATCAAGCAGAAGCGCTGGGGAACGCTGGCGTGCATCCTGTGCTGGGCCGTGGCGGTTGCAGAAATAAGTCCGATTTTTAACCAAATTGAAATGAAGCAGCTCGACAACAAAACCTACTGCTTGGATCTTGCGAGCAACAACCCACAATTCATGTGGCCGTATAGTTGGGTGTTGACCGTGCTTGGATATCTGGTTCCTCTAGTCGTGGTCTGTCTTTGCTATTGGCGCATCATTAAAGTGCTAAAGAAAGGTCCTCATAAGGAAAGCAGCAAACGTGTAAGAGCGAGGCGGCTCATCGTGTTGATTCTGACATGCTTCATTGTGTGCTTTTTCCCTTTTCACGTGCTACGGGCTTGGAGGATCTACACGAGACTCACTCCGGAAACCGACTGCATGCTGGACCGCTGGGTTCACGCCGCCTATATCATCTCGAGGCCGATTGCTGCAATCAACATCATTTTCAACCTGCCGCTCTATACGTTATCGGGCGATTGTTTTAAGCAGGCCTTCGTGGAAATGTTCAAATGTGATCGGTTCGTGGCGAAAATAAAGGGATTGTTAAAGCGGCTGTGATCAACAAACCCACGACCAACATCACGCATGACCAAAGCAGCTGAGACTCATGCTGGTGTTTGAAATGTACAGTGAACGATGAGCCAAAGTCAAAGGCCGACATATGAAGGGGTACTCCACCATAAAATGACTTTCTGTCATCATTTACTCACGTTGTTCCAGACCTGTATGACTTTTTTTTTTGTTCTGCTGAATGCAAAAAGATATTGTGAAGAAGCAACATTGGACCCTATTCACTTATTATTGTTAACTAATATAAAAAATTTAAACTGTAAAAAAAAAAAATTCCTTTTGTTCATTAAAATAAAGCTGAAATGAATAAAGAAATAATTATTAGATGAAAATTTAAACTTGAAAAAGTAAAAAATAAAAATCTTCCATGTTACTTTTAATATATATATATTTATCATATTACTTTTTTTTGCCATTTTATAGAAGCAAAAAGATGCAAATGCATATGTTGCAATGCTTTTCCCATTATTAATGCGCCAGGCTTTGCCTAAAACCTGTTTAACTGTTATAATATTACCTCAATGTGCACAGCCTCAAGTGGCTTTATACACTGTATATTATTGAAAATGTTTCATATTGTCAATATACTGAGAAAATCTCCTTTAAAATCGTCCAAATGAAGTTCTTAGCAATGCATATTACTAATCAAGTTTTGATATATTTACAATAGAAAATGTACAAAATATCTTCATGGAACATGATCTATTCTTAATATACCTGTGCTACGTATGACTGCTTTTATGGTCCAGGGTCACAAATGTGCCATTTCAGAACAAACAACCCTCTTTGGCTCCAGAGTGCAAACAAGGCACCACTATAGTCAAAAATATATGGCCCTGATGTAAACAAATATGCAAAGGCATGTTCCATGTAATTATGTTATTGCATTGCTGTTTACCATTAATAGATTAATGGTCTCTGTGTTTGTGGCAGCCTTGATGGTGTTACTGTATGTTCCTTTGTCATACAAGATTAACAGCAATAAAAGTGACTAAAATTACATTTCCATTTACTTTTGCTATGTACTGTACACTCAAAACAGATAAAAACATTGAAACCAAAGTAGTTGGAATGATATCTGCATTGCACAATTGTCTCGATAGTGCTATTTCAGTCAGAACGTCAATGCCTTTAGTTGCTCAATTGATGTCTTACATAAACGTGCCAGTATGTAGCTCTGAATAGAGTAACTGGTTTATCAGATTCGTCTGAAAAAGGCATGTCTGGAAAAACAGCACCAGGTTCCTGCTTATTAATTTAGATGCATTGTTTCACAGTAAAGAAAGAGGAAATGGGAATCTCTGTCAAAACCTATTGAGAAGCAAATAAGGGTGTGTTTATTATCGTAAGAGGTTTTTGCCGCATTCACGCATTATATGGCAGGTTTCGAAATCAGATGTTTTACATACTAGTGTTTTAGTTTGTAATGAACACTGAAAGGGTTAGTTAACCCAAAAATGAAAATTAGCCCATGATTACTCACCCTCAAGGAATCCTAGGTGTGTTTAATAATAATAATAATAATAATACATTTATTTTATATAGCGCCTTTAAAAGTTGCTTTCTCAAAGCGCTTTACAAGCAAACATAACCACAGAGAAAACAGCACACGGCAGTGGGCGGGTGTTTTCATTCAACAGTCCAAAAGAAGTCCAATAAAGCACATCTTTCCATAATAAAGCGTGCCTCACACGGCTCCGGGGGTGAATAAAGGCCTCCTGTAGCGAATCGATGTGTTTTTGTAAGAGGCATGCTTTATTATGGATGGATGCGCTTTATTGGACTTCTTTTGGACTGTTGAAAAAAACATGCACCCACTGCCATTATAAAGCTTGGAAGAGCCAGGACATTTTTTAATATAACTCCAATTGGATTCATCTGAAAGAAGAAAGTCATATACACCTAGGATGCCTTGAGAGTAAATCATGGGCTAATTTTCTTTTTTGGGTGAATTAACCCTTGAATAACGCAAGTCATCACTTTAGTGGAAGCGATTCACTTTTTTCTGTAATGAAATCAAATTAGTTCCTCAACAACTTCACCTTGTATTAAATATCTCAGGTCGATCAGCTCAGATTTCATCTGTTGTTCACACGATGAGGAAACACCTACACTAACCGTCAAACCTGGACAAAAAGAAGAATCAACTTCTGCATATTTATTGTAAATCAATACTAGTTCAGTCTCCAAGGTGATTAAAAAGATAGAAAAAAATAGTGAATAAAGGACAGTAGGCACGGGATTTCCCACGTTTCCGGTTTAACTGTATAAGCTGTGTGCTTCATTGAAACTCTATTATGACTCTAGGCACGCACAGTTACACAATATTTTGAAAAACATTGGGGCCCAAAGCAACACTGGACCCTATTGACTGTTACTGTCAACCAAAACTAAAGCTGAAATAGAATAAAATATAAATATTAGATGAAAAACTAGATGAAAAATATTACATAAATCTAAACTGACATAATACGTACTAAAATTAGTCAAACATTAGTAAAACTAAAACTGAAATAAAAACAAAGCTAAATATAAATATTAAAAAACAAATAAAAAAACAAGCACATAACAAAATAGTTCATTCATATTTAAATTTAAATATTTAGAAACATAAATACAAATATAAATAAATAAATGCAGCTGAATGCACAGTCTAAAGTGGTCTAAACACACAATTATACATTAAAAAAATCACATTCTGCAGATCTCCAATGCAAATTACAATCAAGCATTTGATGGTTTGCGTTGACATGGTTGTGCATCATGACTTTAATTGTACGCAACAATTAAAGTCATGATGCACAACCATGTCAACGCAAACCATCAAATGCTTGATTGTAATTTGCACTGGAGACAAGTTTTGCAACCTGTAAAAGCCAAATATATCTAGAATTATGCAACATCAAAAAAGTTCACAAACCACTGACTTCTGACGCTTCACAGTGTGACTCATTAACGCAACAAAAACAACTGTTTCTCAATCTACCTTTGAATAAGGTAAGAATAGAAACGTCTGTTATCGTCAAAGAACTTTCTTTAGACCTAGCCTATGGGAAAATGTCAGTGCTCAGAAAGAGTTTCTCTTTCATAACTCAGAAGACATGCAGTTCTGAGATTAAGGTTCATTTAAACATCAACTTGATTTCAGATGTTTCTACTAAAATGCGTTTAGAGAAGTAAATAAAAATGACAATTAGTTAACAGTTGTCAGGTAAGAGCAATACAATTCATGCAGATGTTCAGACTTATGATTGCAGATTTTGCTATCTTGGACAAATTTAAGGAAATATAAAAGAGACGCTTTTTAAGATCTGAAACTCAAGAGGAGACAAGTACAATTATTGAGATCTTTTTATCAAGAAGACTCCATTTGCTCTACAATCAATGTCATTGAAACAACTGAAATATTAAAGAGATCTTATTTGCTGCAAATGAACAATCAGAATCATTAGGATATGATGATCAATATGGACCGATAATCACCAATAACTGCCATTTATCAACACTGAAGGTTTTGGTTCCCCAAACTGTACTGCATGTTAAAAAAATCCCCGGTATATTTACTGCTACATGGAAACAAGATCGCAAAAGGTGTTTCATAACATCACACAATACAGTAGTATTCTTTCTTTGTATTTCCCTGGCATTTACTGTTTTATTTCCTGCTTTCACATGCGCATGTTATGTCACCGGTAAAGTATAAGGATGTTCTCAGGTGGCACGCGATGGACTGAAACCAGTCTGAAGGATCATGTGACACTGAAGAATAGAGTAATGATGCTGGAAATTCAGCTTTGATCACAGAAATCAATTACATTTTACTATATATTCACATAGAAAACAGTTATCTTAATATTTTACACTTTTACTGTATTTTGATCAAATAAATGCAGCCTTGGTGAGCAGAAGAGCATTCCATTAA